GAGTCTTTCTTTCTTTCTTTCTTTCTTTCTTTCTTTCTTTCTTTCTTTCTTTCTTTCTTTCTTTCTTTCTTTCTCTCTTTCTCTCTTTCTCTCTTTCTCTCTTTCTTTCTCTCTTTCTCTCTTTCTCTCTCTCTCTCTCTCTCTCTTTCTTTCTCTCTTTCTCTCTCTCTTTCTCTCTCTCTTTCTCTCTCTCTTTCTCTCTCTCTTTCTTTCTTTCTCTCTCTCTCTCTCTCTTTCTTTCTTCTTTTCTTTCTCTTTCCTTCCTTCCTTCCTTTCTTTCAAGATTTTTACTTATTTGACAGAGAGATAGAGAGCATAAGTAGGCAGAGCGGCAGTCAGAGGGAGAGGGAGAAGCAGGCTCTCTTGCTGAGCGGGAAGCCCAATGCAGGGCTCGATCCCAGGACCCTGGGATCATGACCTGAGCTGAAGGCAGCTGCTTAACTGACTGAGCCACCCAGGCACCCCTCCAGTGCTCTCTCTAACACAATTCCCTGCTGCAGTCTTTCTGAGAATCTCTGGCAGAGCCATCGAAGGGAGAGACTGTTTTTAATGAAGAGAGGTTTCCTTTTTTTTTTTTTTTTTTAAGATTTTTAATTTGAGAGAGAGAGTGAAAGAGAGAGCACAAGCCAGGGGAGAGGCAGAGGGAGAGGAAGAAGCAGACTCCCTGTGAGTAGGGAGCCCGATGTGGGGCTCGATCCCAGAACCCTGAGATCATGACCAGAGCCGAAGGCAGACACTTAACCAACTGAGCCACCCAGGCACCCCAATGAAGGGAGGTTTCTTTGCAATAGCAGCAAAATTTGGCTACATGGCGACATTCATGTACTTTAGATATTTACCTTAAATGTTAAGGTCCAGCATATCTATATGTAAGGTTTGTGAAGTTGAGCTGGGACTTAGCATGGCCGATGCATCTTCCTCTGGCTGTGACTCAGTGCCCTGGGGTTGCTGTGTTGAATCTTACTGTATGCACCTACCTGTGTTCTGCTTAGTGTCTCGATTGGTTCTGGCTGGAATATTAAAAAGCACCTTACGTAAGAAGTTTCCAGTCTCAATGCTCAAGTGGGTGAGGTTCACCGAAGTGGTTGCTCCAGGGAGAAAATTAAAAGAGGTGGAGGCAGGGAAAGGAGCCCTAAGTTTCTTGACCAGGCTAAGTCCATTTGCAAACAGTAGGCAAGCTGGGCCAAAGTTTCTAGAAGTATTTGCTAACAATTTTCCTGGTATGCAAACTTTTTACCTGCCACTCCCTGCAGTAGTTTCTTCAAAGATTCTAAGTGGACTGGGCAGCTTACAGGTAACAGGCCGGGGTATTTTCAAGAGACCACTCAAACCCCACTACTAGGAGTCTCCAGATTTAATGCTGTTACCTCATCCACAGTGCCTACCAGTGCTTAAAGCGCATTGCCAGAGGTGTGCATTTCAGACGTGCAGCACAGACCACAGTTCCTATCTCATGGGGAAAAAGACTGTTCGAATCTTTGGGCCACATCCTGAAACACGGACTAAATGATCTCATCCTCAGCACAAAGGAAGTTGAGCCCATAAGACCATCGCAAATAGGATCCTATTAGACCTGACAGACAAATAGCATCCCGTTGTTCTACCCCAGCTTACTTCTGTCCCATTAGCCCCCAGAGAGCCTCTTCTCCAGTTTCATCAGGTACTTGTGATTAAGTAGGTGGAGGGTGCTATAAGGTCAAATATCTCAATGAGGTGCATCTGTTCCGTCATTTCAAAAGCATCTACTGAGTACCTGCTATGTGCTATGTACTAGGTGATGGGGATACAGCGATGAAGGGGACGAGCTCCCTGTCCTTGAGGAGCTCCTAGTCTAGGCAGAGGGACAGGTCAGTAAGCTGACAAGCACCACACAGTGTGGTAAGTGCTGTAAGAGAAGTCAGCGCAGGTGCTGTGGAACCAGGAGGAGCTGCATCTGAGCTGGCCTGGGGTGTTCAGGAAGGCCCCTCTATAGAAGGGATCTGAAAGGGGATGAAGAGGGTACCTGCAGAAAGTGATGGAACCGACATTCGTTCTGGGCAGGCCGTGGCATACTCAGTGACACAGCAGCAGGGAGCTGGGGGTGGTTGGGATGCCGGCATAGAAAAGGAGCAGAGGATACCCAGTTACATACAGAGTTTTGTCTTTGTTTTCCTTTCTCCTCTCTAAAAGAGCTACTCAAGTCAGAGGTTGATGATAGACTCGTAACTCAAAAGATTCACTTATTCCGTTAACTCAGGTACCTTTGGCATCTATGTCACTGTTGGAGTAGATGTCTAAATCAGAATCTCTTCCCCGTATGTTAATCATGGTGACCTTTAATCATCTTTGGCTCCCAGGGTCTCCTGGGACCCCACCCCAGTCAGCCCATTACTGCCCCACTCCAAAGATAGATCTCTGATCAGGATATCATGGAAGCTCTAGCTGAGTATGTAGTCAACAAGCACCAATTTTCTCACCATCTCTTCTTTTTGTCTTTTAGGTGTGAAGAAATCAGTGGTTTATAGTTCACTAAAGCTACACAAAATGTGGAAAGGATGGCTAAGGAAAACATCCTGATTTGGCTTGCTTTTATACGTGTTGTGTGTAGATTAATAAAGTGATCCTTTTTGACAGAACAGTATTTGTTACCTTGACCCACTGCTTGAATTTGAAGATACCTAGGTTCGTATATTTGATTTTGAAATGTATGTGTTAGACATTTATCTGGGGGACCCAAATACCTTTGAGGATGAGCAAATGAGTAGTTTCACAGGCACAGATGGGAATCTGTGAAAGTACTTTTAGCTAGTGAAGGATTGAATAGAACAGGGAAAATGACCTAATGTTCATTCAAGGCCTACACACCAAGTGTGATACATGAACTGCTTCTTTTAATCCTTACCATACATAGATATGAGCCCCACTTTTTTACAACTAAGGAAACTGAGGGTAAAGAAGTTAACTAACAGGCCACTGGCCCACAGCCCCAAAACTAGTACATGGCTAAGCTGGGACTTGAATTCAAGTCTGTCCCACTCAAAAGACCAGTATCACATCCCACTTCAGGCCCCGCCTGCAAGATGTGAATAATTCTTTCCTGATTTATCCAGATGATTTCTGTGATTATTTTCAGTTATCACTGGCCATGGAGCTAAAGACACCTGGTATGGTTTCTTCTACACCATTTCTTTTTTTTTTTTTTTTTTTTAAGATTTTGTTTATTTGAGAGAGAATGAGATAGAGAGCATGAGAGGGGGAGGGTCAGAGGGAGAAGCAGACTCCCTGCTGAGCAGGGAGCCTGATGCGGGACTCGATCCCTGGATTCCAGGATCATGACCTGAGCCAAAGGCAGTCGCTTAACCAACTGAGCCACCCAGGTGCCCTCTTCTACACCATTTCTATTCTGTGTCTTCTCAGATCAAGTGGGGCAGTAGAAAATTCCTTCCTAGAATGAGCTACTTCTGGGGGTATGATGCATGATACATCAGAATTTATGGCAGACTTAGAGACCATTTATACTCCTTCACTTTACAGGTGGGATAAGTAAGGCCCAGAGAGGTGGTGACTTCCAAGGTCACATATAATTGTTGACAGCCTAGACTAAAACTTGCATCTCTACATCCTACTTAATCCCCTTTTCGCTTCAGCCTGCTCTTCTACCCACCCAGCCTGTAGGTAAATTATAATAGGGCCTTGGATTTCAGTAGCTTTTACAAGATCAGGAAGAACAAAATCCCTCAACTCAGTATTATTTTCAAAAATCACAGGACACCTCACCTAAATGTAACTCCTAACTCTAACTTGAGTTTTACGGTCCTCAATCCCTTCTTGGATAACTAACCTACTCTAACAATTGGGCAGCAGATACAGGAAAGTCTTTCCCTGGAATTTCAGGTTACAATGGGTTATGTAGAAATAGATCAGAGGTTATGGCAAGTGGAAAAGCCAGGAAAAGACTAAAGGCTCTCAGGGAGGAGAATTTATTTATTTATTTTTAAGATTTTATTTATTTATTTGACAGAGACACAGCGAGAGAGAGAGCACAAGCAAGGGGAGTGGGAGAGGGAGAAGTAGGCTCTCTGCTGAGCAAGGAACCCAATGCAGGGCTCTATCCCAGGACCCTGGGATCATGATCTGAGCCGAAGGCAGACACTTAACGACTGAGCCACCCAGGTGCCCCAGGGAGGAGAATTTAATTCAACTGATTAATTCAATATTGCCAAGCAATATTGGGTTGGAGGGAGATGGGATTGGCCAAGATGACCATACTTGTGATCCTGCCCTCAGTAAGCTTGCAGTACATCAAGTGGGGAGGACAGAATTTATCCTCATAATAGAAGATGAGAAGCGATCGTTGCATGAAGACAAGTTCATTCATTCATTCAGTCATTTAACAAATATTTAATAAATACTGCGTGTCAGGAACTGAAGCCTAATGAATAAGACATTGTCCCAAGTCTAAGGATCTTACAATGCAGTAAAGTAGTCAGGTAAGTAAATTGGGAATTATATTTATCTGATAAATGCTTAATTATAGGGGTAACTGTAGGGTGCTGTGGACATACCTAAAAGTAATGGCAAATACTGGTTGAGCCCTTACAGTGTCAGGCACTATTCTAAGCACTTTCTTTAGATTTATTCATTTAATCCTCACCACAGCCTTATGTAATAGGGACTCTTATTATTCCCTAATTTATGCCTGGGGAAACACAGGCACAGAGGAGTAAGGCCTTGCATATCATTTCAAAGCTGGTAGATGACAGCCAGGATTCAAAACTGGGCCATCAGTTTGCAGAGCCCTCCCTCTTAACCTCTTAGCTAAACTATCTTTCAATCGCTTTGTGTTTGCCTGGTTTGAAGAGGAGCAAGCGATGTCCAGCCCACTACTTTTTTTTTTTTTTTAAGATTTTATTTATTTACCACCCACTACTTTAAGAACAAGTAGGAGTTACCCCAAGGAGAAGGAAGAGTATCCCAGGCCAGGGAAGTGCTTGTTCAAAAGCTCTGAGTGAAGAGATCACAGTATGTTTAGTAAACTAAATCTAGCTCAAGACGAATAGAATGCCAGGCAGATACTATAGAGGCTGGAGAAATGACAGAGGCCAGATCATAAAAGGTCTTACTAAAGTCTGTCATTGTATTAATCATTATCCTCAGAACAGTGGAGAGCCAATGAGGGATTTGGGGGCTGGAGAGTAGCAAAACTGGATTTGCATTTTATAAAAATCATGGTCGCAACATGAAGAATGGATTAAAAGAGGCAAGACTATGGGGTGCCTGGGTGGCTAAGTCAATTAAGCATCTGACTCTTGATTTTGGCTCAGGTCATGATCTCAGGGTTGTGGGATTGAGCCTAGCGTCAGGCTCCATGCTCAGTGGGGAGTCTGTTAGAGATTCTCTTCTCCCTCTCTCTCTGCCCCTCCCCCTGCTCACACTCTAAATAAATAAATAAAATCTTAAGAAAAAAAAAAGGTGCCAAGGTTCTGGATGGGGCAACTGGGAGAATGGTGTGCTATTTCCCAAGTTGGGGATTCAGGAGGAGGGACAGATTTCGGGTGGCATGAAGACAGTGATAAATTTGGGTGTGGACATGCTGAATTTGGGATGTCTGTGGAAGATGTTCAGTAGACATCAGCTACACAGGTCAGAAGCTGGAAGTGTACTAAGAGTTGGCAGGTAGTAGATGGTGGGAGTGGATGAGATTTCCCCAGGAAGTCTGTAGAGTATGAAGACCAGAGAGCCAAACTGACAACACTGGGAAACGCCAACATGAGAGAAGCAGGCAGAGAAAGCTGAGGGGCAAGAAGAGGTCAGAAGAAAACCAGGAGAGCAAGGTGTCCGGTCATGCAGGAGATGGTGAGGAAGCATAAATTGTATTACTGTTCCCCAGAAGAATCTCTTTTCCCTCCCTGCAGTTCCCCACCCTACGGGAGGACTAATTTTCCTCCCTCCAAGGACCTCAGGGTGGCCTTACGACTTTTCTTGGCCAGTGAAGTAAGAATGGGAGTGACGTGTCACTTCTGAGCCAAAACATTTAAGAGCCAGCCCAGAGTTTATCATGTCTCATTCTCCTTCTGCCACAGGACTGGGAGTGCTCCACCTGGAGGCTGCTCTCTTTCGGCACAGGTCCTCTTTCAGTTGGGAGGGTCAAAAAACGTTTTGTGCAGTCAGTTGATTTCTTGAGTTTTGACAAGGGCACCAAGGCATAAATGAGGGAAAATGATTTTTTCCAATAAATGGTGCTGGGACAATTGGATAGCCACATCAAAAGAAGGAAATCGAACCCTTACCTCACACCGTATACAAAAATTCACTCAAATGGATCAAAGTGTAAATATAACAACTAAAACTATAAAACCCTTAGAAGAGAACATAATTAAATGTTCATAACCTTGGATTAGTCAATGGCTTCTTAGACAAGACACCAAAAGCACAAGCAACAAAAGAAAAAAATAGATAAATGGGACTTCATCAAAATTTAAAACTTGGGTGCTTCAAAGGACACCATCAAGAAGGTTAAAAGACAACCCACAGAAAAGTGGGAGAAAATAATCGCAAATCATATATTTGATAAGGCGCTTGTACCTAGAATATATAAAGACATTTACAATGCAATAAAAACATAATTGGCCATATTTTTAAATGAGCAAAAAATCTAGATACACATTCCTCCAAAAAGATACACAAACAGCCAATAAGCACACAAGAAGATGCTCAACATTAGCCATCAGGAAAATGCAAATTGAACCACAACAAGATACCACTTTATACCCACCAGGGTGGCTATCATCAGAAGACAGAAAATGCCAGGTATTGACAAAGATGTGGAGAAATGGGAACCCTCATATGCTGCTTTCAGGAACAAAATAGCACAGTTGCTGTGGAAAACAGACTGGCAACTCCTCAAATGGTTAAACACAGACTTACCACATGATCCAATAATTCCACTCAGAGCTATATAGCCAAGAGAAATGAAAACATACCTGCACAAAAACTTGTGCAAGAATATTCGTAGCACCACGATCCACAATAGCCAAGAAGTGCAAATAACCCAATATCCATCACTCATGATGGATAGATAAAATATGGTATATCCCACACAATGGAATATGATTCAGCATTAAAAAAGAACGAAGTACTGACAACATGTTATAACATGGATGAAACTTGAAAACATTATGCTTAAGTGAAATAAGCCCCACACGACATCTTGTAGGATTTCACTTATATTAAGTGCCCAGAAGAAACAAATATATATAGGGACAGAAAGTAGTTTAGTGGTCTACCCATGGCTGGAGGTGGGTAATGTGGGACTTGGGAGTCACAGCTAAGGGATACAGGGTGTCTTCTTGGGTCTTTGAAAATGTTCTAAAAGTGATTTTGGTAATGGATGGTTGCACGACTCAGGGAATATACTGTGAACCACTCAACTGTGCTTAAATTCAATGGTTAAAGTACATTAAATGGTGAGTTGTATGGTATGTGAATGATATATCAATGCTTTAAAATGGAAGAAATGGGGGCGCCTGAATGGCTCAGTTGTCAAGCGTCTGCCTTCGGCTCAGGTCATGATCCCAGGGTCCTGGGATTGAGTCCTGCATCGGGCTCCCTGCTCCGCGGGAAGCCTGCGTCTCCCTCCACCTGCTGCTCCCCCTGGTCATGCTTACTCGCACTCTCCTCTGACAAATAAATAAATAAAATCTTAAAAAAAAATTTTTTTTAATTTAAAAATAAAATGGAAGAAACGTTTCATGGAGGAGAGGGCGCTTGAGATGGTCTCAAAGGAATGTAAGGAGTTAAGTGGGGAAAGCAAGTAAGAACTAGCACAAAGGCTGGAAAATTGAGGAGACAGGGAGTGGGGAGTAGGACTTTTTTTTTTCTTTGCTTGAGAATTTAGGCTTTTGTTTTGTGTTTTTTTTTTTTTAAGACTTTATTTATTTATTTGATAGACAGCGGGAGAGGGAACACAAGCAGGGGGAGTGGGAGAGGGAGAAGCAGGCTTCCCGCGGAGCAGGGAGCCCGATGCAGGGGCTTGATCCCAGGACCCTGGGATCTCGACCTGAGCCGAAGGCAGACGCTTAGCGACTGAGCCCCCCAGGCGCCCCGAGAATTTAGGGTTTTGTTTGAGGTTCTCACACCAGAACTTCCTGTCGTCTCTAAGCCAAGCTAGACTTGAGGACAAGGAGACAAATCAAAGAGTGTCATACTGTCTTTGTTTACTCTCTAACACTATGCCTGGATATTAGCTACATTGCTTGCAGCCCTCTACGGGAAGACAGGATTCCTCAGCCTGTCCCAGGGCCCGTGCTGCTCCCAGAGAGGTTGCTGGAAACTTTGCGTTAAGAATCTACAAGCCTCACCATGTGAGGAAGCAGGGCTAAAGTGATGGGCCATGGTGACATCCAGTCTTAACTCACGTATATATCAAGTGGCAGGTTTCTCTCTATTCTTTCACACAAATTGGAGACACAAGTATAATTCCTAAAACTGGAGCAACTTGGGGGGCCTGGGTGGCTCAGTCGGTTAAGTGGTTAAGTGTCTACCTTTGGCTGAAGTCATGATCCCAGGATCCTGGGATCAACTCCCATGTCAGGTTCCCTGCTCAGCAGAGAGTCTGCTTCTCCCTCTCCCTCTGCTCCTCCTCCCCACTTGTGTTCTCTCTCTCTCTCTCTCTATCAAATTAAAATCAAAACAAAACCAAAGAAAAAGAAAGAAAGCTGGAGCAACTTGTAAGAGGGAATTTGCAGTGATTACATATTTCCTCCTTTGGTGCAGTTCCATAGCCAGTCATCTGACAAGAGGCCCACAGACTTTGGTGTCCTTGTGCAAGTATGACACACAAAAGCCTCAGTCTGTTAATACAGCTGCTGTCCTTGTGAAGGACAACGTAACACTGGGGTTAGAGGTCTTAGGTGGATGCCCTGGGAAAGAGGCTCTGAGAGGGGTGTGCCTGGAGGAGGTGTATGGAAGCATGCTCTCAAGAGCAATACCTATAAGAACGTGAGGGCAGCTGCGGGGTCAGACAGAGGGACAAGCTGAGCTGGGAAGCTGCTGCAACAGGGGCCTCAGCCGTTCCTCCAGGGTAGCTCTGGAGCTGGGTGGCCTTGCAGGGTGGTCCCAAATCGAGACAAGGCAGTCAGTCCTTCTTACCAAGGCACCAACTGGTTATTGGATGTGGGGCCTACCCTTGGCAAGGCAACTCCCTTTGGCCGGTGACAGAGCCCACAGAAAGACTCAGCTGTGAGCCATCAGCCATCAACAGTCCCAGAAGCTGCAGGAACGTTTGATGTGTTTCTGGAGGGAAATCTGAATGGTGCTGAAGTCAAAAGGGACTTCCGGGCCTTTTTCAGCTGGTAAAACCTCAGACCCCCCATGATATATAGAAGAAACATCCAAACATGAGACGTTTATATGTTAAAACTTTTCTTGAGCGCTTTTCTCCAAAGGTCTCACAGACGTCCTGCCCAATATGGTGGCCACCAGACACATGTAGTCACAGAGTCCTTGAAATACGACTGGTCCAAATTGAGGTGTGATGTAAGGATAGAATACACTTTTCAAAGACTCCGTATGGCAAAAAAGATGTAGAGTGTCTCATTAATAATCTTTTAATATTGATTGCATGTTGAAATAATTATTTGGAATACATTGGCCCAATTATTAATTATGGCCCAACATTATTAGTGCTAATATTAATACTAATTTCACCTGTTCCTTTTTTTTTTAATGTGCTGCTAAACAATTGAAAATTAACATGTGTGGCTCCCATTAGAGGTCCACTGGGCAGCGCTGTCACGCACGTTTCCTAACAGTCTGGATGCTGGTTTCTCTCTGCAGTGGGAAGAAGTTTCTCTCCTCATTTGATGGCTGGTAAGAACTCTCTTCATTTCTTCCGGTCACCTGTACCTTGCCTGGAGTAAACTCTCACAAAAGTTTGTTCAGGAAAATGACGAAGCAGGAACATCCCGTTGGGTTTTACTTCCCTCTTTCAGATGCTGCTACATAATTTTGTTTGTCGGATTCTTAGCTTCCTCGCAGATGGGAAAGAAGAAAGACGTGGCTGTGTCAAGGGTGTGTGAAAGGAGGAGGTCGTGATGTCCTGCAAAGAAAGCAAGTGGGCAGAGATCCCACACTCAAAATGGTTACTGTTGGAGCAGTCTTCATAGCCACAAGAGCTCTCTGAGCGCGTGTTCCAGGGCATTATCTAATTCAGTCCTCACAAAGTACAGCAAGATGCTCTTTTCATTTCTCTCATCTTACAGGAGGGAGAAACCCATCCCTCCAAACGCTGCCTGGCCCTGGGGGATTGGAGGTGTTGACCCTGTCCCTTGGCCAGTTGCATGTCTTTTATATTGAAAAACTGATTGGAACGAAATGAGTTGGGTTCCGATCTAGATCTTAGTTCAAGGACCAGGATGGAACTTTTTAATCAGATGCGTTTACACGGTGATTTAAATACTTACTTCGACCTGATTTGATCCCTGGCATGGAAGATTCCATTTAAGGTTTTCTTCTGTAAGTACACTCAAGTTGTTTAACATAACCTTATTATGCATCTTTCCTAACTCAGAGTTAATTTTAAGGTTTCCTTTTTGGGAGGACCAGATGCTACAAATATTTTGTTTTTTCCAAATTCTGGAGCTATTCCAGAATATGAAGCTAATCGAAGCAGATAACTGTGAATTCACTGGGAGGTGACCCATTTCCAATTCTGCAGGTCTGGTGGGGGTGGATTTGAGGTCATCTTTTCACTATTTTTTAATTAGCCGTACAGTCAAAGCTGGCATAAATGCAGTGATGTCGATGGTTTTATTTAACTAGAACAACAAACATGTGTTTTCCAGATATTTTTATTTAAGACCAAAAAAGCAGATTATTTTCCAATAAAAGAATGAGAATTTTAGAAATGTTTAACTCATTTATAAATGTAAAATACATTTTGTTTTAAAAATATGTACTAAGCAAGCTGTTTGCATCAGGTTGTCATGTGAACCTTAAACTATGTGATTATTCTACACATGATTACATATGTACATATGATTATGTAGCTAACACTCTTCTCAATTTCTCCTTCCTTTTTATTCACAGGACAGAAGAAAAAGCATCCCCACTTTCCAGTTCCCAAATATTTCCACATAGTATCAACTTATTGAAAGGAAATACATATTCTTTCTATGCTTATGGCTCTGAGAAGCTTAATTATTAACTCAGAAAGTGACCGTGTTGCTTAAAGGGAAAGATGTGGCCTCTGGGCGTAATCAGACCTGGGTTCAAATCCAAACCCTACTGTTTATGGGTTTTATCTTCAGCCCTCATTTATCTTCCAAGAAGTTGGGTTTCCTCTTCTGGCAAATAGGGATAATCACTATCTTGCAACAGTTGCAACAGCGTGAGGCTCAGATTAACTAACTATGGTAGCATTTTATCCATCATAAAGCTTACATGTTTCTTCCCTGACGAATCCCAGTGATTAAGAGGAAGTATGGTATAATGGCTCCAATTCTGAAGGACCACAGGAGAAAGAAGGTAACACTGCCTAAGTATCTCCTGGCGTCCTGCACTTCACCTTAGTGCATCAAGTTCTCTATAATAACCCCGCCAGGTAGGTGGTAATAGTCCCATCTGCACTCTGCTCTTCTCACTGTTCCTCTCAGATTTAAGCTCACATTTCCAGTATGCCAAGTCCTCAGTGGGCTTGGGGACAACATTTATTCTAATGCTCAGTTTTCTTATCTGTAAAACGGCAGCAGTATTAATCCTGACATCACACAGTAGCACCTCAACCCCTTTTTAGAGTTAGTTTAGCTCTGAATAAAAAAGTAAAAACGCTAGGGGCGCCTGGGTGGCTCAGTCGTTAAGCGTTAAGTGTCTGCCTTTGGCTCAGGTCATGATCCCAGGGTCCTGGGATTGAGCCCCACATCGGGCTCCCTGCTCAGCAGGAAACCTGCTTCTCCCTCTCCCACCGCCTGCCTCTCTGCCTACTTGTGCTCTCTCTGTATCAAATAAATAAATAAAATCTTTAAAAAAAAAAAAGTAAAAGTTCCAATGGTTACCTTTAGGATTGAATGGGACAATGTGCATAGTAACACCTAGCTCGTAGAAGGAGCTCAGTAAATAATCATGACATCTGGATCCGAATTAAGTTATCTCCACTGGCATAGTGGAATGATTTTATTTTAAAACTTCTCAGCACACACATCTCTTAAAATCTGTGATAGTTCATATTTGGAAATGTGACTGAAGAACGTCCAGGTCCCGGCCACCGTGATGAAATTGTAACACAGTCCTGGAAGACTCAGTCCAAGGGTGAGTTACTCACATGGATATCAGAAATCTCGGGATGCCTGGCCGGCTCAGTCGGCATGTGCAACTCTTGATCTCGGGACTGTTAAGTTTGAGCCCCACGTTGGGTGTAGAAATTACTTAAAAATGAAATCTTTAAAAAAAGAAAGAAATCTCCAGGATGGCATCAGGGAATGTGACAGAAAGGAAGATGGTGAGCAGGATTCCAAAGCCTGCAGGTGATGTAGGGAGGTCATTTGGAGATAGTAATGAAAAAAAGTATTCTGGCTCATGGCCTGGACTTCAGGGTGCCAAGAAAGTGCAGGTTCCACCCCTCGGCCTGTGGCCTGTGGTTGCTTTGGATGAGCTCCTGCTTTCTGCCCATTGCACAACTAGTCAACCTTGTGCTAGCCTGGCCATCTAGTTAAAAGCCGCTCTGGAACTCAATTACTGCTTTTGTTGGCAGGGTGGGGAGCCTATCTGGGTCAGCTTGGCTTTATAGGGAACTTTCCAGGGGCTCATATAAAGGGAAAGAATACCTTCTGGTTCCCAGGGAAGGAAAAAAAAAAAAAATCTCCCAGTGCTGGGATTTCTAAGGTGATGAGAGAACTCTCCCTTACTCTGTTTTGTCCAGGAAGTTTTCCTGTGAGTAAATCGAGCATTCACAGAGTCAGAGAACAAGGGTGCTCAAACCTGTTGTAGGTAGCAGAGCACCTGCATGTCAGCTTCCTTTGCAGAAGATGATGAAACACTGGCATTTCTATGCCTCATTATACAAATGATGACTTAGCTCAGAATACATTGATGGATTTCGCTTCTAGGTCGGGCTAGAAACATCTGCTTAATTAATTGTGCATACTGTTGTAAAATAAAATCACAGCTGTAAGCCTACTGGCTCATGGGAGAAACAAGCTATTGAACTACTCAGGATCCAGTTTCCAAGTATCTCCACAACATTCATTTCCAGTATTCACTTGCCAGTAAGTTTGGATATTCTGCTAGTACTTGATAGCAGTCATCAAAGAAAAACGTCGGGAGAAAAAAAATTAACAAAATACTAGCCTTCAGCTTTTTTTTTTTTTTAAAGCAAACCAAAAAGGAAATAAGATCACATGTAAGGTACTTTGGAGTCAGAAAGACCTGGGTTTATGTTTTGTTTTCTTTTGTGTCTTAGGTAGGCACCATGCCCAGCGTGGGGCTTGAATTCACAACCCTGAGTTGATCTCAAGACCTGAGATCAAGAGTCAGATGCTCCACCGACTGAGCCATCCAGGTGCCCTGAAAAGACCTGGGTTTAAATCAAAAGTATTAGCTGTGTGACAGTGGGCAAGTTACTTAATCTCTTGGAACTTGCTTACTTCCTCTTCTTTGAGATGGAGAAAATACCTCCTTGGCAGGATTAGTCTCAAGATTAGCATTCATGTATGTGAGGTCCCTGGAGCCGTGCCAGGCCCGCAGTAGGAGGCTTAATAAAGGACAAGTATTGTTAGCGTTTTTGGCATCAGAATGCTTTGTCCAGCTCCCAAAACACCAGTGTTCCATCGATAGGGAAAAACTAAGCTAGAAAAGGCCTAGAAACAATTGAATTATGTCCCCCATGCAACAGATGAGGCAACAGAGACTCACAGATGATCCCAAAGTCACCCAGCAAGTTTGCCGAATCCCAACTCCCAGCGGCTTCGCTGCCCTGCTGTGCTGTTCTCTTCTGCAAACCCAGAGCCTTTCTCAAACGCCCCACGTTGTCCCTGGAGGCCACTGGCTGTGGCACGTGTGCTCTTTTGGTAGCCAGCCAAGAGGAGAGAGTGTGCAGTGACTCACCAGGTGAGCCCATCCCCAGTCCCTAGTTACTGTTCCTGTTAGAGAAAACACCCCTCCCAACTGCCCACACGTCTGTGTTTCTTGTTATGTTTAGTCCTCCAGCTGTGGCTTTGCTCTGTTCGGAGAATTTGTCTAGGTAGGTGTCTTGTCCCCCCCACGAGGCCGCAGTTTGGGAGGCTGATGTTGTGACCAGTTGGAGCAGGGAGGGGCCCGGGCGCTTGGGCTGGCCTGGACGGCAGAGTGGGGAGGCTGGCTGCCTGCCTCAGGGCTCCAGAGAGCAGGTTGGGGCAGAGGAGTGGAGGGAGGCGTGTCAGCACTTGTCCGCCGCAAGTCACCAGGGAGAGAGACACCCAGTACAAGAGGAGGCAGAAGGAACACTGAAAGAAGCCAGGTGCACCTTGGGGGCCGTGCATAGTTTTCACTACCTTCAAGACCCTCTTTATTATTTAAAACACAGCTCCATGCCTTCAAAGAGTGTGGTCTTAACCCCCAGCCCCCATCCTGGCCATGCGCCACTCCTGTCCTCCACCTTCCTGCTCGGAGGCTCGGGCTGGGGTGGCTGGCCCACCAATCATGTTCTTGAACTTCTATTATGTCACCAGCAGCCAATCAGAGTGGATGATTAGTATGTGATAACCGGCGTTACTACCTTGGGTTGACATAATCCTAGCCTAGAGCAAAGACGCTTGACAGTTTTTGTCAGCAGGCAGAACTTTTTAAACGGCTGTTTGAAAGCCTGCCTATTTTTATAGGGCCACTCATAAACCTGCTCCGTGTCTCCACCCCATGCTGACTGTTGAGCCATCTGCACACCAGGGTAAAAAAAAAACTGATATGCAAAGCCTGCAGGAGACACTGCGAGCGAGACCAAGAGAGGCATTTGCTCCTAACTTTGCTGCTCAATCCTACCTGAGTTCTAGGGGGTGCCCTGAACACATTCTTCTTTACTTAAATTACTTTATTTTTACTTAAATTCACTGGAATCAAGCTTTCCCGTCTCAGATCAAATGGTGTTTTGCCAAGACTTGCGACCTCGTTACCTAGGCTTCTCCTTGCCTGGGCTGTGGGTTCCTTGGCAGGATTGTCGCTAGTATAGACTGTCTCTCCCACCTTGCTGACTACAAGAGCCTGCAGAGAACTCTATTCCACCTGGTTTTATTTATTTATTCTTTTTAAAGAATGTATTTATTTGAAAAGGAGCATGAGAGAAAGAGAGCACGAGCCAGGGGCGGGGGGCGGGGGCAGAAGGAGAAGCAGACTCCCCAAGGAGCAGAGAGCCTGATGTGGGACTTGATCCAGGACCCTGCGATCATGACCTGAGCCGAAGACAGACACATAACCAACTGAGCCACCCAGGTGCCCCTCCACCTGGTTTTATAAATAAAGTTTTATTAAGACACAGCTAGGCTTACACATTTGATATTGTCTATGGCTGCTTTCATGCTATGGGAGTAGAGTTGAGACATTGTAACAAAGATCAGGTTTTGGCAAGACCAAAATATTTGCTATTTGGTCCTTCACAGAGTTTGCAAACCTCTTAATTCATCTACCTGGCTGCCCCCAGAGTGATCTCTCAAGCCTCAGATGCAATCATGCCATTCTTCTGCTTCAAAACAAAAACGAAAAAACTCAAAATCAGCAGTCTGTAAACAGAGCTCCTTGGTGTGCTCTCCATAACCTGCCCACACCCCCTTCCTTCTCTCCTGTGCACCCTTCGCCTCTGCCCTTGCTCAGCTCTGACATCATCAGTTACGCCTTTGTCCATGGTGTGCCTGATGCCTGGAATTCCCTTCCACTTTCTCTGCCAAACCCCTTAACAACTTTTAACACCAAATTCAAATATCACCTCCCCTCTGCCCCTTCTTACATGCCCAGCAGAATTAATTGCTCCTTCCTCTATGCTCCCATAGCTCTTTGGACAGATGTATGCCATTGTATTGACCAAATGGGATTGCGTGAAGTGTTTCTGTGTTTGTCTCTACCACTAGACAGTGAACTACTAGAGATCAAGGACCTTGTCTCATTGCCTTTCTGCCTCTGACCGGAACGAAGATGAATCATCTGGATGTTACAAGTAAGTCAGAAACAGACCTTTATAAAAGTCCCAGGAACCTGACTGTAGTGTCTTATCTATGCCGCCTCTCCTGATTGACTATCTGGTTTCTTCTCATCTCCATACTTCCGGGTAACTGAAATACCATAGATGCTCAGAAAATGTCTTACTGAGTGAGTGTGTAAATGGTATAAAATAACATGTGTTTTTTTCTTTCTAGTCTAACATCAAAATGCAGTAAACATATTGTCCATTTACTTTATCGTCAAGTACATTCAGGACTTTTAAAAAAGAAGTCTACCTTCGGGGCACCTGGGTGGCTCAGTCGGTTAAGCAGCTCCCTTTGGCTCAGGTCATGATCCCAGGGTCCTGGGATCGAGCCCCATGTCTGGCTCTCTGCTCAGCCAGGAGTCTGCTTCTCCCTCTCCTTCTGTTCCTCCCCCTGCTCATGCTCTCTCTCTCTCTCAAATAAATAAATAAAATCTTAAAAAAAGAAGAAGTTGGGGTGCCTGGGTGGCTCAGTCGTTAAGTGTCTGCCTTTGGCTCGGGTCATGATCCCAGGGTACTGGGATTGAGCCCAGCATTGGGCTCCCTGCTCCACGGGAAGCCTGCTTCTCCCTCTGCCACTCCCCCTCCTTGCGTTCCCTCTCTCACTGTGTCTCTCTCTGTCAAATAAATAAATAAAATCTTAAAAAAAAAAAGTCTACTTCATCTAAATATATGCAAATGAGCAATAAGCACATGAAAAGATGGTCAACATCATTAACCATTAGGACAATACAAATCAAAACTACAATGAGATCCCACTTCACACCCACCAGAATGGCTGTAATCAAAAAGACAGACAGTAACAAGTGTCTGTGAGGATGTGGAGTAATTGGAACCTCCTATGTTGCTAATGAGACTATGACACGGTGCAGGTGCTGTAGAAAACAATTTGACAGGTCCACAGTTACCAAGTGAGCCAGCAATTCCATTCCCAAGTATATCCTCAAGAGGAATGAAATCATGAAACCACACAAAAACATGTACAGTAATATTCATAGCAGCATTATTATTAATACAAAAGTGTGGGGCACCTGGGTGGCTCAGTCAGTTAGGCATCTGAATTCAGCTCAGGTCATGATCCCAGGGTCCTGGGATTGAGCCCCACATTGGGCTCCCTGCTCAGCAGGGAGTCTGCTTGTCCTCCCTCTGCCCCTCGCCTCTGCTCATGCTCTCTCTCTCTCTCTCTGCTCTCTCTCTCTCTCAAAGAAATAAAATCTTTTAAAAAATAATAGCAAAAATGTACAATGAAAATGTCCATTGACTGATAAATGGATAAACAAAATGTGGTATATTGCATACAATGAAATATTATTCAACCTTAAGAAGGAATGAAATTCTGACACATGCTACAAGATGTATGAACCTTGAAGACATGCTCAGTGAGAGAGAAGCCAGTCACAAAATGCCATGTACTATAAAATCATGTATATATAGAATGTTCAGAATAGACAAATCCATAGAGACAGAAAATAGATTAGTGGTAGCCTGGGTTTAGTGGGGATGAGGGTGGGGGAGGAGATGAGCAGGAACTGCTAAAAGGTAGGGAGTTGCTCTTTGGCTGATGAAAATGTTATGGAATGAGACATTGGTGATGGTTGTATAACTCTGTGAATGTACTAAATCATTGAACTGTACACTTCAAATGGGTTAATTTTATGGTAGTGGATTATACGTTGTTGTTATTGTTGAAGTACTCTGCAACAAGTAGAGCTAAAATTGGTGAATTCTATCAGTTTAACTTCCTGGTTGGGAAATTGTACTACAGTTGTGCAAGATGTTACCACTGAGAGAAACCGAGTAAAAGGTGCATGGGATCTCTCTCTGTTCTTTATTACAATTGCATGTGAATGTACAATGATCTAAAAATTAAAAAAAAATTAATTTAAAAATGTACTCTACCTCTTTCCTATTTCTCTCCTCCCCAAATAAGAATTTCCCGGAGCATTATGTCTATGTTCCTTAAATGATATTGCTATTTGATGGCATCTTTTACTTGTTAGAAACCACAGACCTAGCTCATAGACAGATGAATTTTTCAAAAGCTGACCAAAGTGTTGGATGTAACAAAAATATTTATCGTCTCCAAAAAGTGAAAAAACCTAAAATCATTAATGAATGTTTAAGGATTTTTATTTATTTATATATTTGAGAGAGAGAGAGAAAGTGAGCAAGCGAGAGAGAGAACACGAGCAGGGGGCGGGGGGTGATGGGGAGAGGCAGAGGAATAAGCAGACTCCAGGATCATGACCTGAGCCAAAGGCAGAGGCTTAACCAACTGAGCCACCCAGGCGCCCCATTAATGAATGTTTAAACGGCTGCCCAATATGATCTTATATCAAATAGGGAGCTGCAACTCAGCTCATTTATTTCTGTGTGTGTGTGTGTGTGTTATATGCATAATATTTAATGTGGGATATTAGGAGGATTCAAACCAGAGGTGACTTGGTTTTGAATCTTGTCTTTTACCTCTTATAAATAAGTTTTTAACTTCTTTGAATCTCAATTTCATTTTCCATAAAAAGAAAATTATTGAATCTAGTCCATAGACTTGTTGTGAAGGTTAAAACTACAGGAATAACTAATTCATGTAAAAGGCTCAGTAGAGTATCTGCCCCATTGTAAGGGCTCAAAAAATGGTAGTTATTATGATGACGATAATACCAGGCGTGGCAATTTAGGCACTGTTATCCCTGATGTGTATTTGTAGGTGACTGGAGCTGGTGTTAAGAGCCCTAAGCCCAGTAGTTTCTTGGGCCCACTTGATAACGGGCTTGTAATTCACCAGAGCCAGAGAAAAGGCTTCTATGATCACTCTGCTACAGGATCAATAGAAAGAGGAGAACAAAGGCCTGGTTACACTGGAGGCTCAAACTAATATTATTTTAAATGAAAGCTACAAAAACAGTGTGGGGAAAAAACACAGGAGAGGTGAGGCTGGCTAAGGTTTGCATCCTGAGGTCAGCTAGTGGTTGACTGAGTCACGAAGCATTTCATACAAATCATGATCTGACAATCTGACTGTATTTTCCCTGCAAAAACTCAGGATACCTATTCTAAAAAAGCTATTTTTTTTTTTTTAGAAATGTGTGTGAATCGTGGTGTCTTATATATGAAAATGTTTGTATACGACTTAAATCACATTAGTTATACATTTACTCTTTATTGAAAAGAGACATCGGCACCTGCCTAGCAAACCTGAGCTTTAAGATTGTGTACAATCGTGTAACCTTTGGGATAACTGTTTGGAACATCTCTGCAAACATGCATCAGGGCCTGGCACCTCACTGAGCACTGAGGAGGCAAACAGTCCCTGTACTCAGGCACACCTGATACTGTACCTATAAAATGTAACAAACAACAACAAAACCCACAGGGGGTAAAAAAAAAAAAAAACGAGAGAGATCTGTAATAAATAAAAATCAGTGATTCTATGAATGTTTTATCTTATCATTCAGAGATAATATTAACACAAAAATGATAATGAAGGTCATCTTCATGTTTCTGGCACTTGTAAAAGATATTTTTAGAAAAACAGTATAATAGTAGAAATATCACTAATGTACTAGGCAATACAAAGATTAGAAATGAAAAGATCTAGGGTTCTGATACTTACCCATTGTGTAACTTCAGCCAGGTCACTTAAACTCTCTGTGCTTCACTTCCCTCATCTGTAAGAAATGAATACTAATATGTACCTCATGGGTTTGGTATGAAATTAACTAAGATAAATGGAATTTTATTCAAATATAAGGTAACATTATAGGAAATTATAGAGAATATCTGCAGTTGTGGGCTGTTTACAGATAACCCAGGATCACAGAATTGTATTATTATTATTTTGTATTATATTGTTTCACATTTTAGGCCAAAATTAGAACAGGAAGTAAAAATTCCAGAACAATAGAAGGACACCACTGGATGAAACTAATTTACCAATTTTTCCATGTTTTGTCTTTCAAGAGCTTTAAGATCTTCGATTCATAAAAGAGAAATTTGTGTCCACATTGGGAGGCAAATGTATATCAAATAATAGTGAGTGCTTGAAGTGCTAGGTAAGGAGGGGTCATGCAGCAAGACCTGGGCAATAAGAGAGTTCTCTGATTGTGATGTTCAGCATGGGAACAGGAAGGGTAGGACAGATAAGAATTAGGTGTTCATTGGCCTTACATTTCCAAAAAGAGGGACACTGCATTAGCACGGGGGGTGGGGGGGAGCAAAGGAAGATTATGATATATCTAGAAGACAGCAATGGGAGTCTGAGACGAAATCATTTGACAAACATTAACTAAGCACCTGTTTTGTGCCAGACTTTGTACAAGGCACTGGGGATGGAGGGATGAATGGGTCTGTATTCCTCAGTATTCTAGACAAGAGGCCTTGGAGTGTGTAGACTGAGGTTCAAATCCTGGATGTGCCACTTGACCTATAACTTTGGGTAAGTGGTGGAGTCAGCCATGGAAACACAATATCGCATAACAGGTGGGCTAAGAGAGGTATGTACAGAAGATCTGGGAGGCTTCTGGTCAAGATGATGTCATAAGGTCATACTTCGAGGCTTTCCTCTGCTTCAAATATATGAAATGATAGATAAAGTATAAAAGAGAAAGGAAAAAATGGCCACACTAAAAAATACAATAAATATCTCTGTGGAGCAAAACTGGAAAAAATCTAGTGTAATAAATGGGCCTTCAGGGCTCTGGATGGGGAAGCAGGCAGAGGTGACCAGGGATCAGGCTTCTGTGTAGCAACAGAAATGACAAGGACACCAAGCAAGGTGAAAGGCCAGACTCCGGCAACTGGAAACTGCTGGACAGGAAAGGACTGCAGCAGGGAGCCTGGGGTGGTCAAGAGGGAAAACACACTCTTAAAATGAATGTGCAAACCAGAATTCCCAAAGTCTAGAAAGAAAATCAATGTGGGGGCGCCTGGCTGATTCAGTCAGTGGAGCATGCAACTCTTGATCTCAGGGTTGT